GATCAGAACAATGCAGTTCTTCACCAAAGTCTTGGTTCGGACCAATTCATTGTTACTGGCGTTATAGACCACGTCAATGATACGGGTCTTACGAGTGGTGCCTATAAGATCACCAATTCATCAATTAATGCAAAACCAAATTCAATCAAAACTATTTATAGCTAAACAGTGGATCAGATCGCTGTGGGATTAAAGGTATAATCAAAGCATTCATACGAAGCAATTCAAGTTATCATCATTTCAATGGTGTCCTAACCCTAAGAGGAATCAAAGAGTGGTAAGACTTACGCTCTGAAGCCCAGGCAAAGTTGCCGTGATCTAGACGTAGAGCCCGGAACTTGCTGTTACCACCTCTGGTGCGGACCAAATGCACGCGTTTGGGACCAATCTATGCAAACATACAACACGTGTTCACAATAGGCTCATAAAGGGGTGGATAGAGGGCTGGGAGGAAAGGGGTTTAGCTTCCATCAGAACGGCGAGCGTTTTTCATCAATCAATGTGGCAGATGACACGCATGAATGACATCATATGGAGATCTCAAGACTCGGGACATTATATACGCAAAGATAGGACACGCCGGCAGACTTGGAGGAAGTGGTCATACCTTAGTGTTGGCTGAGGGTCGGCCCAACTCGAACTTCCTCTTCTTCCTCAGAGGCTTTCGTTTGCCGCCAGTCTTCCTGCGTTTGTGCCAATGATCCCGTGATATACCTGAAGATCACCGCAAGTCAGACATTAGTGACTCAAGTCATGTGCAGACAATGCATGCAAAACACGTTGCAATACAACACTATCTCCTAAACTATACTTTTACTACATTTTACTCATTAATATAGCTTTAAATGAATTGAATGTGAAATAAGTGTTAAATAAAATCATAATTAATGACTAAATAGTGAATTGAATTAAAATAAATTGCATTTAAAGCGGAATCGGGAGCTAAGAGAGCATTGAATGACTTACCCATAGCTGAGTTCTGCCGGAAAAGGACACAAACCTATGTTTCATGCCATCAGAGCACCTATAGGTGGCTGACACTACACTGACATCTAGCGGACAAACGCTGGCATTAGTAGTCATTCAATGAACACAAAAAACGTTTGCTTTCGCGAAGTGAATGCCAAACGCGTTGCAAACGATTGCGAGTGAAAGGCATTGCATTCACGCAATGAATGAGTGATTATAATAAGAGTTGTAATTGATTTCTGAATGAAAACCAAATATTGACTCAAATTTTTTTATTTGTTTTCGCATTTTATATGATTTTCTCATCAATTGATTGTCTTTTGATTGTCGTTTGAATTGTCTTTTGATTTGTGTCTTCAATTGCAATCCAATCGTCACATCCAAGCAATCGGTGCATCCATTGAGCCATTGGTTGGTGAGTGAAGGGAAGCGCTGACAGGAATGGCGGCCAAAGACAAGTCGACGCCGGGAGCGGTCGGACACTTCGGCGTGGACTCAATCAAAGTGATTGGGGATCAG